AAGTCGGTTCCAACCCATAGTGACCCTGTATAGGGTTTCCAAGGAGCAGCTGGTGAGTTTGAACTGCTGAACTTGCAGTTCAAACGGCTCTGCAGTCTGGCACAGAAAGCCACAGTGCCACACCAGGACTCTGAAAAGCTTATTACTTTCCTTCAAGTAGGGAAGACACGTTTTGAAGTCCTGGTGTGGCATTGCAGGACAATGCACTGGACCACAAGATCAGTTTGAACCTCAAAGTGGCAGTTCAAATCCACCAGCTGTTCCTCCTAAACCCTACACAGAATAATTATGAATCAGAACTATTCAATGGCACTTAAGAACAACAGCAACACAGAAGATTTAATAAGAGTGCTTTTTTTTTTTCCACTTCATAAGCTGTGTTTGCCAAACAGCATCAAAAAGTAATTATTTAAGGCAATATGACAATTTTGTATGCAGAAAAAATTCTAATTAATTTTTAGCCTATGTTAGAGTATTAGTTATATGTTATTTGTTTATGTTTTCATTATCTACATAGTATATTAAGGAGCTCTGGTAGTGTAGTGGTTACGAATCAGGCTGCAAACCTTAAGGTCAGCAGTTCAAAACTACCAGCTATTCCACAGGAGAAAGATGAGACTTTCTGCTCCCATTAAGATTTGCAGCCTCGGAAACCCTGTACAAGGTTTCTATGAGTTGGAACTGACTCCGTGGCACATAACCACCACCACATAGTATAGTGGAGTCCTGTTGTAGCACTGTGGGTAAATGTGCTGGACTGCGAATTCAGTTTGAACCTCAAGGTCAGTGGTTCAAACTCACCATCCACTCCTCGGAAACCCTATACAGGGTCACTATAAGTCAGAACCAACTGGATAGAACTTAACAACAGCAACAACATGTGGGTTTAAGAGTTTGTTACATACATATGAAGAGTGCAGTGGCTCTCTAGGATGAGTACTAGACTAGAAACCAAAAGGACGGTGGTTCAAGCCCACCAGTTTCTTCTTGGTACAAGAGATGAAACTTCCATAAAGGGTCATAACCAACTCCATGACACTTACAACAACAAGAACAACATTCTGAAGATCAATCCAGTGATATAAACTCAGTTGGAATTAGTATCACCAAAAGTACCAAGGCAAGGAAATACCCTGAAATTACTCCAGTTGGAATAGTATGTAATGACCAAAGGAAAGAGGCCATGAGAAGTGTTAGATTTATTTTAAGTTCCATTGGATACTGTTTTAAAAGATTTTAACTGAAGAGTGGCATTATCCAATTTATGTTTTAAAAAATAACCCCATGACTTTAATGTGTCTTATGGTTGTGTTTTGTTAGGATAAGCAGGGAAACCATACAGGACTATTGCCTGATGTAAGTAGCAGATAATAAATGACCCAGCCTGTGGTTGGTTATAACTATACTACAGATTGGAGAAACCAGGAGAGGAGATAGGCTAAAATCTAAATTTATATTTTATTTTTCTTCTTTGTTTTTGTTATTTATTGTTTTGCCATCTGCTATAGTTGTAATTTCCCAGGATCTAAGGAGAGCAATTGCTGCTGCAATTCATCACTTTATGATGTTGGCATAAAGTGGGCGGGAAATCATGTTACTGAGTTACAGTAGTTCAATTTCTTTATTTAAAAGTTAGAATCTTTCCTTGCAAGTGATCATTTCTTTGGATAAAATTTTTCTATATTTCACTTTTTCTTCCTTTAAAAATGTTTGAGTAACTAATGAGAGTCAATAATATTGTATCATTATTTAAAGCTGTACTTTTTTTATTATTATTATTGTTTATTCTGTTGTAAATGGCAAAAACTGGTTTCCCCAGAAAATGGTGCCAAAGATTTTACATTGAGGGTTTCCACATCCTAATGTTTTTGTTTCATTTTTTAGTTAATGTTCTCAGTGCCTTCTTTCTAATTGGTAATGATGTTTATCAAGATAATTATCTGGAGAAAATGTTATAGAGTTGACTTAACTGAAACTCTCTGATTTCTTATGTTTTTCAATAGAAAAAAGAGAAAGCCTCTGTCATGATACAGAACAATGCATATGCAGTGGCTGTTGCCAATTATGCCCCAAATCTTTCAAAGGATCCAGTTCTGTCCACCATCTCCAAGAGTGCAACCACACCAGAACCTAACAAGAAGCCGGAAAACAAGCCAGCTGAAGCCAAGAAAACCTTCAACAGTGTTAGCAAAATTGATAGAATGTCTAGAATAGTTTTCCCAGTCTTGTTTGGTACATTTAATTTAGTTTATTGGGCTACATATTTAAACAGGGAACCTGTATTAGGGTTCAGTCCTTGAACTTAGACCCAGGGTTATATTTGGGATGTATAGCAACATTAAATTCAGTTTGTTTGCTATGTACAGTCTGACTAATAACTGCTAATTGGTGAACTAACATGTACAGTGTGTATATAGTGATAGAGCTTTCCAGGAAATCTCTCTTTGGAGTCATGCATCTGCTAACCCATGAAACTGCAAGCAGAAAGTGCCCCATGCCAAAAGAGCCATTGCCTTTTTCAAGATTTCTTCTAGGAACTGGTTTAAATAGGGTTTCAGATGTGCTGATTTATATTCTATTCTTTAGTAGAGAAGTAAATGGGGAACTTACACCACACTTTTATGGATGCTTTCTACTTAAGTATTAAATATGAGTATTTTCTACTATTACCTAATTATGATGTAAGATAAGGTTGTCATTCAAAGACAAATTCTTCTAAGCAGCAGGGCCTGATAGTTGCAACATCAATCCTGCCCTGAATGCTCAGAATCCCTGCTAATGGAATTGGAGGCTTGGCACACATAAGAAAAGAAGCTAAAGATTATTCAAAATCACCTTTTAAATTAGTCTGTATAGTATCTATAGCCATGTACATATTACAGCATGATGAGATCAAATAATTACATGAGTCACCCCCTGATAGGATGTTAATTATGCCTAGAATTTAGTAACTATTGAAATGTCATTACATTTTTAGCTTCAGAGCTTATTTGAAAGTAGTAATTGAAATCTGACAAATTATTTTCATCATTGGAAACTACCTTAAATTAAAAAAAAAAAAAAAAATTGTGTCTTACTGTTTCCAGGTATGTGTTGTAGTGAAACTGATCAGCTAAATTTTCTTGGTGCTGGAGACTGGAAAAAGCATCCAGTTTGGCTACTGTGGAAGCAACATTCATAGTGGATTAGAAAATTGTGCCAAACATTCCCACTGATGAGAATTCATAGGTGTCACAGAATACAGATGAACACTTATCTAATTCTCTTCTTTCCTGTTTACTTCAAATTTTGCCTTAAGGCTTCTTTTCATCTGGACTCAGAAGCCACTGATTCTAAAGGAAAGGGCAGTTGATTGGCACATTTTTCTGTCTTGAAAGCAGCTCTTTCAGCTAAGAATTAATGTAAATCTGCTTTTGTAAATTGCAACTTTAAATTTCACTGACTCAAATTTACAACAGCTTTGTATACCAGAAGAGATTTTGGTAAGAGTTAAAAATTTTTAACCTGAAACTTTGAAATATTGCCAACAGATATTGGATTAATGAAAATGCATATATAAACACTCACATAAAACTAAATTCGAAACCATACACACACAAACAATTAAATTAGAAGACACTGCAAAACAAGAGGGGAGTCCTGGTGTGGCGCTGGGGTTAATGCACCAGACTGCAAAGCCCTTTGAACTGCAAAGTCAGCAGTTCAAGCTCACCAGCTGCTCCTCAGAAACCTTATACAGGGTTGCTATGGGTCGGAACCCACTCAACAGCACTTAACAACAGCAATGCAAACAAGTAGCTAAGTTAGGAGCCACAATTTACAATTTTATATGAGTAGTAATTGTTAATGAGTGAACTATATAATATGCTTCCATAAAAATTACAGCCATGAAAATCCTATGGGACAGATCTACTCTGTCACATTGGGTCACTGTGAGTCAGAGTTGACTTCATGGCACCTAATATCAACAATAACAACAAATTACATTCAGTTTTCTTTTAATATTTTAAAAATCCTCCTTATTCCCCTGAAATACACTATTAAGATTCAGTAATTCTGTATGATACCTTAATTAAAGGTTTTTGGCAAATTTTAAATACCTATGTTCACATATACATTAGCAGTTATTAGTTGACTTTTAATAATAGATATACCTTTATGATGGCGTCTTTGTAGAAACATAAGTAGTGAAATAGTGACATTTCTTGCAGTTTTGTACAGTATTTGAGTATAGTGCATAAATAGGTATGTTCAAAAAAAACCATTTTTTAGTACAAAAATAAGCAAAATCAGAACAAAATTTGCTTTCCCTTTGCCTCGTTTACATTTTTTCCCCTCATTTTCTTTGTTTTACTGCGATTCTATTATGTGCTTTGCATGATTGTATTAATACCAAGGTCACAAATGCATTTTATTAATAGAATTTGCCAGGAAGACAGACTTGATATTAAAAATACCCTCACAAAAGGTCATTCATACTTTAATAAACTTGTTACATATTCCAATAAATGTATTTCTTTAATTCCCTTTCAGTAACAACTTTTTTTGTCATTTAATTATTTTAAATTGTATACCTTTTCAAGCGATGAATGAGAAGGGATCCTATTATTTTACACATTTAAACATAGCAGAGCTCCTCTGTGATTTTAAAGGACAGCAATTAAAATACTTTGTATGATATGCATCTATTAGACACTTTTTAAAGTGTTTCCCTGGTAAAGTCTGCATTTCCCCTTAACTTCTGACTATAGACATTTGTAAATATGTACATATGTAAAAATAATTGTAAATAATGGTTTCTCTAGGACAACAGACAAGACTCACCTCTACCTTGGTGAAAGAGCTGCACCTACATTGATGTCACCAAAAAGTGATTGCCATTATTGTTTTTAATTGTTGTTCCATCACTAAAATCTTATTTGAGCCTATTCACATCCTGATAGTTCAGGTGTTCCAATAATACAGGTCAGGATTTTCTTTTATTTCTGTAACATTTTCACAAATTTCTTTTAAGTCTTTTAAAGTTTGAATAAATCAAAATCGACTTCTACTCTTAATGGAGAAAGAGGATGTTTTTTGGAAGATTATTTTATAGAATCATGGTGTTTATAACCTGCTTTAAAATATTTACAATTTAAGGGTCACATGGATTTACCAAAAAATAAGACCATTTTCTCAGCATATAAACATTTAATATCCTCGCCTGGGACTCATTGGCACATAAGTATTGCACCTATTCCTATTCCTGAAGTGTACATTGACATGAAGAGTTATGGTCTGTCCAAAATGTAGACAAATAGATGTGCATACATAGATATGTAATCGCATCATTGTATAGCGACTGCTGGAATACAGCTATTATTTATTCAACAGATACTTTTGACTTCTTGGGATATGCCCCTCCTTGAAGTTGCTGTCAGTACTTCTCTTACCACACCAACAGTATTCAGTTGAGTATTAATATGTACCTCATTCTTAAAAAAAAAAAACCAAAAACTTGAAATCAAAAGCTTAATTTATCACCAAATAGTTTAATGAACCATGATATCAGTAGTATGCTAAGATGATGGCGGTTTGCTCTTCTTTGCTACCCATGTTCTTGTTTGATTGAATATACATATGAAAACTAATACACTATTTAATAATTTTTTTAAAACTTTGTTGATTTTTAAAGTACCAGTTGTAATGTTTAACGATATCTTTAGAGATCTATTTCCAGTTATCTCTGAGTTGGATTAGTGATCCCTTTGAGCCATGTTTCCAAAATTTCCTTTTCATAAACAGTTCATAATTTAGTTTAAATTATAACATATATTATTTCACTCATTTTTTTTTTTCCTGTTGTTGTTAAATTCCATTGCATTGGAAGCAAAAACACTTATCTTTCTCCTATGGACCATAAGGTGGGCTCAAACCACAACTTTGTGGTTCACAGTCTAATGCTTGTTCTACCGAGCTACCATGGTCCCTTTTTTCCTATCATTGTATGTAAATCAAACATGTTTATGAAACCCGTTGGCTATTCCTTGGTAAGAGAATTGAACTCCGCCATGATATTATTATGGATTCTACATAGGCACCAAAGTGTAGTGGACACTGTATTATAGACATTGTTGTTATTAAGTGCCATTAGAACTGGTTCCAACTCACAGCCACTTTGTATAAGGTTTCCCATGAGCAACTGGTGAGCTTGAACCAATGACCTTGAGGTTTAAAACGACTTTGCAGTCTAGTGCATTAACCTACAGTGCCACACCAGAACAGAGCATTCTAATAAAAGGAGAAAGGATGTAGCTCAAAACATTTTCTGCATTCTCCAATACTATTAAGCATTGTCTTCCACATGATCTATAATGTCTTAATGACAAAATCTGTGAAGCAAAGATACATATTAAATAATTTGAAATCTAGGGCCATATTAATAGGTTTATTAGATTGTTTTTGTGCTTAATCTTTGATTCTCTTTAATCTCTCCTCATGTTTTTAAGCAATTACCAAATGTTTAAGTTTTTCATTTGTCCCACAAGAAAAGACTCAGAATTGCAAGGGAATCATGAAGTATTACTCTCCAGTATGGAGTCACTTTTTTCTTCTTTTTAAATTGAGTTTTCATGGGGAGCTTGGGCTTCTTTTTTATTGATCCAAATTAAAAGGGAACAAATTTTGAGTGGGAATGATGATTGATTAATTTTAACCCCTGCGTGCTTGGGAACCATGGATACTGTCACAAAACCACTCATAACAATATG